GAGCCTGCTGAATAAGAGGGCATAAGAACAATCAGCTAAAAGTATTTACAAAATCAAGCTTTCCATCGCATGTATGTCTTGTATTGATTAAATATCATACGTCCACTTGCATTTTATTAATATCCTTAAATGAAAACAATTATCTGTTATTCGAAGCACCACTGCTAAAATTAAGTACGCAGACTCGATGGAAAACTCGATGGAAAACTCGATGGAAAACTCGATGGAATGCCGTTAGATTTCATGCCAACGTGGCTTTAATTTAGCTCTAAAGAATTCTAACATCCGAGTTAAAAATACGCCCGTTCGACTTGAGACTTGGTGAGGCTCTTCAGAAACGAGAGTATCTCTACCTGGAAAAGATAGGCGTCGCCGAAGGCAGTGCTCAGGCAGAATATGTAGTCCCTCTTAGGGTGCTCGGGTATCGGCTGCATAATCGCTCCATCAACGATTATAAGATGTTTTGGGGCTGTCTCGACCGCGCGACTCTCTTGCGATTCGCACGGATAGAAAAGAAGAGTCGTGCCCTTAAGGCAAACCCAGTAGCCCTTCCATCCACGTTTTCGCGCAAGCTCTATCTGGTGCTTCTTGCGTAGTAGCCACTTTTTCACACTGAGAAACCTGTTAAAGACGAACAAAGTTGTTATTGCTATGTGCAAACCCCTGTGTCGTGGCTCCAAAATCACCAATCGACGATATATTAACACTATTCTCTTCATCTTTACGTCTATTTGAACTCGAATGCAACAATGGAATGTATTTAATATAAATTAAATTTTCAATATCGTAAACAATTACTTTTTACTGCTTTGGCTCTTCATTTACAGCTTTATGCTCTTTGATATTCTATTAATATAATTTTTTTTAAATACAATGTATTACTGCCTAAAAAATATTTATAAAAAAACAATAACTTATAATAATAATTGAGATGTTAATTGATAAAGTGGAGTGACATTCAATATTACCTTCGTAAATATGACATTTTCACTTTTACTTCACTAATTTTTGTGTTTGTCACATCAGGCTATTCATATTTTTGTATACACACTATTTTGTGTCGATGCCGTTAATTACAGAAAAACGGTTCTTTTAAATTTGAATTAATTAATTAGAACTTATATTAAAAAAAAATTAGAGAGGTAGAGAAGGGATGTATTTAACTTTTTCGACTGTTTCGTACATATAAATGATGTTTCTGACTATATATTTTTAATAGCAATTTTATTCCGTTTCCCATGAATCAAAGTACATTAATCAAACTTTGACGTAGTTTATAAGCGATGTATAAAAAGGACAAACAATTGTAAAAACATTTATTAGTTGATTTATAATTTTCAGTGTGAAACAGTTGATTCCAGTCCAGAGTGTATTTAGAAGCAATAAGAACATTGCTTAATCAAACTTAAAATAAAGGTACATTGAGAAACCTTTAGCAAGTCACACTGTATCAATAAGATGCAGTAGTTGATAATTATCGAACTTGGAAATTCATTGAATATTAAAACTAGTAAAAATGTTCATAAAATAAAAGACTGCGGTACTAACATAATTTATAAAATAACAATAAATTGCTATAGCACCGAGATTACAATTTTTTAGTTTTTAACGCAATACCTCTGCACAAAAAGAAATTTACAAAATACTTAGTAGATTGTATAAATATAAATCATATTTATAATATAACATTTACGATTAATATTAATCTTTATTTATTACCAAAATCATTTATCAATGATTAAAAACTAATAATAAACAAGTGTCTATTAATTGATATCTTGATTAAATATATAATATCGAATGTACTTAATATTTTTAAATTAACTAATTCACACGAAATAAATAAGAATTGATCAGGTTCATTTTGAAAAAGAATTGTTACAATCAAATCAAAATAATATCTACTGCATCATTTTATTTAGTAAACTTAATATTATCTTTATAAAAAAATCTTTATAAAATTTATCTTAATAAAATCGTATAATTTAGGTAAATATAATTATTTTTATACAATTTAATATAAACTATTTTTATTAAGATTAAAAATTTTTATTTTATTTTGTATCCATACATATTTTAACGAATGCTAAATTAATTAATCGATATCATTTTCAGTTAAGATAGAAATCTTATAGGCTCATTCGGATTTTTCAAATTAAATATATCAATCAAATATTAAATATAGAAAATTCAATATTTTATATATTAAATTTAATTAAATAATACTATACATAAATATTATAATTATATTGAATAAAAAACTGAGAATATTTTTCATTATCATATTAAATCGCTACTTTAATAGTTCTGATCATTTTTATTACTTAATTATTATATAATATTTTCTGAAAGAAAATATTTCGAAGTAATTTTACTTATTTAATTTTTACATCTACAATTAAATATTTTAATTTAAAAATAATTAAGCTCCTTTTTTCTATAAATTCTGGAAATGGACTACATAAAAAATTGAAATTAGTAATACTACAGAATTTATGGAATTCAAAAATTAGTCATCAATGAAATTAGTGAAAGTATAATGAAAATTATTTTATTTAATTTAAAAAATTATTAATTAGTAAAAAAAGTATAATTATTGGAATTATTATTATTACAATTTGTTTTAATATTGTCTCAGCTACATTTTATAGACATTAGACAATTTTACAACACAACTATAAAAGATTCAAATAACTTAATATATAATACCATCTCTTACTCAAATCAATACATCTACTTTATTGAAGATAAATTCTTAAAATTAGGGAACTTCTACAAACACTTTATTCCAAACTTATCTCAGATTTATCTTATTAAATTATCATTTTAAATTACGTAAAAGTGCTATTAATGAATAATTTTATTTTCTATGATCTACATATTTGCTTAATATTGAAAATATTCCTTTCTAAATGAAACTAGTTTTATAAAATATTGTCCAGTATTTCTAACACAAACCTACTAATATTTATTAGTTTTTAATTACTCGTAATCTTAAATATTATTTAAATTTTCCTCCATATAACATATTATTATATGCATTATTATTTATATTATAATAATGCAAATATGGGTCAATTTACTTTTTTACAATTAATGTTAATTTTTTAATATTAATGTATAGTCCTAAAGTTATTTCAATAATATCAATAATTGTAAACCAAGCTCTTTGAATAATATTTGAATAACTTTGAATAATATTCATTACTGAATCAATCATTGTATAATTAAATGACATACAAATCATTAACATTATTATATTCATACCTAACACAGTTCCTATTTTCATTAAAAATTGTATTGATTCATTAACGATAGTAAAATTTATGATATTTCAATATACGCCATTTAATTGCCTCATATAGGAAATTATACCATCATCACACCTTAAATTTCTCTTGATTCGTATAGTCTCTTTCTATAATTACGTTAATTAAATACTGGAGAAATTTGAACATAATTATGTTATCGCATTATAATATTACCTGTCTGTAGTAAGATATAACCGCAAACATTTTAGTATATAAAAACTCAGTTAATAGTATAAATAATAGATAAATCATATATAAATCAGTAGTATATTTATAGTATCAATAAACTATGATTTACATAACTATAATAGCTAATATAAAATATAAACATGTATGTCTGGATAAAGACACATGCGCAATAATACTTATACCACATATATGTATATCAATATAATGGACATACGCGCTGTTGCATAATATAGTTGTATAATAATATAATTTTTTTACTAAAATAAATTACAATGTGTATAGATTTTCTATATTTATAAAATTAATAATAATGCTATTATTATTATTATTATTATTATTATTATTATTATTATTATTATTATTATTATTATTATTTAATATAGGACATTTTATCAATAATCTTTCGTAGATAGGATCAATAAATTTACAATAATTAATTTAGGAGTTTTTTTTTTCAATTATATGAAAGTAAAACTTATGAATAAAAATTTCGTAGCAAAAATTTCAGTATAAAAGTTATATAAAAACATTTAGATACAGATATATAAAGTTTTTAAGCCTTTTAGTAATTACATAACTATATCTATAGGTATAATATTTAGACTTAACTTGTTTAGATATTATATATTGATCTACAATTTATAGTCGATTATATAAAGACAAAAATAATTAATGACAGAATAAGATTGTTATTTAATATTGAACACTAATCTTATCATAAGTATTTACATAAAAATTATAATTTTGTATACTTAGGCAAGAATCATAGATTATCAAATGTATCACATCTATAGAAATTTTAATATTTTTCTATAAATTATTTTCAAATAGTTTCTCATTTAAATAGAATGCTTATCAATATTAAACTAGATAAAAAATCATCAATTCTCACCTTATTTCATAATTTAAAAATAAATATAATTAGTTACATTCTCATTACTAGTATGGAAGATAGTAAGATTGCCGATGACTTATCAATAAATTTTAAAGACAGGAGTCATATATTTCCGCAATCAGCATAAGCTATTATAGTATAAATATACACAAAATGTAGTATAGTATAGTAAATTATAAGCAACTTGACATCATAACAAATAGTAAATTTAAAATGATCTACACTATATAGGTTTTCTTACTTTATAAGTTTGATACTAGATTACTAAATCATATAATAACTAGCTGAAAGTTCTTGAATTATTAATGATTTAAAATTAAACGACGAATTTTGTTGAATTAAACAGATATAGCTATTATAGATTATAATAAATAAGATATGAAAAATGTTATATATAAAATGACAAAGTAAACTGTGTAATGTTAAATTTTATATAAAAAATCTATCAGATTTCTATATATCTGTAAATATACAAATTTCTTAACGCGTTTAAAAATATTTAGATAATTAATTGATTAAAATAATTATTGAATACTTGATTACAAATATAGAATTGAATGAAATTGAATTGAAGTAATTGAATGAAATCTGATGGTATCAACTAAAATTTCATGATAAATGCTTTAAGATATTGATAGATGTAAAAATAATAATTATTACTATTTATTACCATTTTATTATGCATTACATTGAATATCTAAATATTCTCTTTAATATTATTAATATCGGTTTAATGTTAATCTTTTATGTTAATATCATTTTCAGTTTGTTTTATATTATTACTTAGTAGTAGGAATTTCATTTTCACTCCGTTACAGAATATTTTGTGAGTACATGTTACAATGTCAAAAAATATAAAAATAATGAAAAGTAGTTTGTTATATTTATTTATTGATTTATTATATAAATCTCTACAACTTTGTACTAGTGGATATGAATAAATGAAGTTATAATGTATGAAAAATAGAAATATCATTTTTCTGTAACTTGCAAATTGAAATGATGAACTAAACATTGTTATTATACAAGAAATTTAAATGCCGATATATTTGCAACAATGGTTCTATTTATTATTGTATTCATTAAATTAAATATACGAATGCGTACGTAAAAAATACAAAACATATTTATCTACGTATTATTTGTATTCCAAGATGATCTTACGTAGCAAGGCAAGTTTTAATCGACGATTTAGCACTTCCCGTTTTTGTTTGGCATGAATCCAACAGCACCTAGTTGCAATATAGTTTAAAATTTATATAGAAAAACATACACACACATATTCATGCGCATTCACATAAGCCATCTGTCGTTTCTTCGTAGAAAATACATAAAATAATATAGATTTTCCAAAAGTAAATAGGGAAGATTAACCTTGGCCGAGTCTTCTAAGTTCTTGGTTTGAATTTAATGGCTCGAAAAGAAAATGTAATTAAAAATATGTAAGTAACTCAATATTTTTAATAATCCATAAATTAAAAAAACTTTTTCTAAAAATATTAAATATTTTAATAAATCAAAATCTACCTTTTAATATATAATTAAAATTATACATAAATTATAAATAATAAATTTAAATTTTATAAAATTTTATTGTGTATGTAAATTGGATGCTCAATAGAATAAATACTTTCTATCGATCGATCTTGTTACAATGTGTAATGAAATTGCCAGGCTTACATTTATTTACGATTCAAATGAATTGTTCAATGAACTAATTTTAATGCATTCTGAATATTATATAAATATTATTTAGTAAAATAGATGGTTAAATAAATATATTGCTATAGATGGCAATAATATTGTTTATTTTAAAAAACGATTAAACGATTATTAATAATTATTAATAAAAAAATAGTAATATAAATATTTAATGTATGTGCATAATTGTAAGATGGAATTTTTAAAATGTAATTAATAATTACCCTGCTTTACGAACTGCACCGGTGCAGTTGAAGGATGCTGCAGCTGTTCCCGTTTGCTTTCCTTTGTAAGGCGAGTTCATAACACTTTCACCATCATCGTCGTCACTTACTGCTGTAGTTAATGACATTCTATCATCATCTGACATCTGCGAAAATAATTTGTAATATCATAAACTATATGTCTACAATGTTTTCTACAAATATAACTTTACACAATTGTTTTTAATAAATTACATATTATACATGTAATTAGTTTATTTTTATAAGAAATTTTATATTAAAAATGCTTGAAAAATGTTTTTTTAATTGGTGAATTTATTGTGATAATTTACTTTTAAAAATGATCCTAATCCTAATAAAATCCTAATACTCATAAAACGATATAACATTAAGAAGAAACTGCATACATGAAGCATACAAAATCATTCATTTAAAGCCTATTCAGACCGAATGAATTTATTCATTCAATTTAATATAAAAGGAATTAAATATACAGTGTTCTTGTAAAAAAAATTATGTTTCATTACATCCTGTAACACTCATTGATTCTTTCGATAAGAGGTTTTTAGAATGAGGAAAATCAGATTACTGTGTTATATAAATTTAATACTCCATATTATTGATTGCACAGCTCTAACTATACAATGTAATACATAATAAAATATATGATTTTATATTAGTTTAATTAGTATAAAAATATCGATAAAATTCAGAATAATTGTTTATTACTCATTTTTAAAAAATTTTAAAAATCGCGTTTTCTTTAATTATACTGTGTATAAAATGTAATAAATTAATTTCAGTCATTGCTTCATTTTCACACAGATAATAAGCGTACTGCAATAATAAAGCAATAAAAGCAATAAAAAAATGAAACTTACGAAAATGTATATAATTCAAGGAAATAAAATTAAATAATATAAATATATATATATATATATATATATAGAAGATAACTGTTTACAATAGTATTTGTATTTGCTACTGCGAACGTTTAATACAACGCTTATTCCAATAAAATATATCTATATTAATAATTTTTATACAATAGCACTTGATTTGTTTCATATAATACATTTCAATACATGCAAGTAGAAATAATATTGTAAAACCATTAAATATTATACTTACTTATCTTATAACTACAATATGCACATATGATCTCAGCTATTATTATAGCAATTAATATGACAATCAAACAAATAGAGTAGTGATATTAATTTACACGTATAGTATATTCATATCCAAATTTTGAAACTGACATTTACTTTCATACCATTAAATGAGTCTCCGAATTTTATCCATTACAATTGAAGAAATAATTCCATATATTATAACATTAGTAAATTTATTATAAATTTATATAAATACTGCATATATAATTATTCAATTATATTTTGTGTATTTATTTATAATTTCATTTTGTAAATTAAATTAAGAAGATAATAATATTCATTAATATTAATCTTAATTTTTTCTATTAAAATGAATACATATATAGTTAAATATTTCATAAATACTCATGGATTTTTTAATTTTTATTTGGCATCCTATATAAATAATGAGAAGCTCAATTTTGCTGAAAAATATATGAACATATTTTTAAAGCAAATAGAATAAATTTATTCCAATTATCAAAAATTAAATTTTTTTTCAGAATGTATTGATCTATGAATATAATTAAATTATGTAAGTAGTGTAACTTATAAGATATGTATTATACTTATTTTTAAACAATGAAATAATTTCAAGAATATAATATGAATGTCAAAATTATTTGAAAAGAGAAGAATCTATATTTATAAAAATCTTTTAAAAGAAGTTATCCGATTTAACTTATATTAAGACTATATTATTAGATATCAAGATGTGCAATACAAATTAAATGCAACATAATAAAATTTTTTGGAAACCTTTATTTCCTATTCATTTAATTTTTTACAACATAGCAATAAAAATAAATTCGTATAATGTTCAATAAAAAATATTTCATTTGAATTATTTGTAAATACTTTACAATAACATTAAATAAAAATATACTCGTAGAAACATTTCATAATTTTTAAGAAATTCCTTAATATTTTCGTCGAGTAATAAATATTTATTTTTAACGTTTTATTTATTAAAGTTATGTAATGAGTATTTATAAATTTTATATAATGAAGTTATATAATAAATTATGGCATATTTATATTTTAAAAACTTTCATCATAATGAAAATAATTTTATTATATATTTTAATTGTAAAAGCATCACACCTAAAACTTTTTAAGTAAAATTTTTATATCTGTACTCTTTAGAACCTTTTTATTATTAATAGATCTTATATAAATTTAAGTATAGTTTTACAATAAATGTAGTTTAAGTATAATATATATATATTTCTCTTTCATAATATCCATATTCTTTTCTCAGGTATATTATACATTATCGAAATTTGAATAAATATTAATATTATATATATAATGAAATTTTTTCCAGTCATTTTAATGCACAAATAAATAATATATATACATTAAAAATTAGTAAAAAATAATAAATAATTATAATATTATTAGAATATAATATAAATAGGTGAGTGTAAGTTTTATTAAAATTTCAATACATTACGAAAAAATTTTTAATTTTCCAAATGTATATAAGTTAAATATCGGAATATCATATTTAGATTAGTATAGATAAAGTATATCGTTATATATTCATTATAATTATTTTTATTTAATTATACCCATGAATTATCGCCTAACAGTCAAATTAGTCTTTATTTTAGTGTTGCATATAATCAATGTTGTAATTTTAAATTAGAAAAAAATATTAAAAAATTAAGTGCACGTTTTATATTTAGAATAACTTTATATGGATTGACATACTTTCTTTCTTCTATGAAACTAGGGTCAATGCTTCAAATACATAAGTATCTTTGTTTGTATAAATTTATAAGTCTGTTAATTTATGAGACGAGCTTCCGCTAAAAACTACATCAACCTTTATGATTGAGCAAATCGCGAAATGGTATTAGGCCAGTGCAAATTAATTTACTATGTCTCTCTCTCTCTCTCTCTCTCTCTATATATATATATATATATATATATATATATTTCTTTCTCTAATTGCGCGCACAGTAAGAAAAATGAATTGATGGATTGAACTTGATGGGAAGAAATGCAAACAAAGAATACAGCTTCAGAAAATAAAACATGATTAATGTGAAACAAAGCAAATAAATAAACCATCGCCGCAAAGCATAAATACCATCCAACTAGGCGTCAACGCGTCTAAATCATCATTTTCGCCAATTCCATCCTGCTTATTCCTACTTACGACCCTCCTAAGAAAGTCGGCATTGCAGATATCCGCCGTTATATGCGGGTGGTAATGACAATAGCAACTCTCATTGAGCAGTTTCATGTTGCTCTTGGCACTGCCGTTGATTTTAAATATGACTTCGTTTTTGGGAACGCGTGTCAAAGGCTGCGTATGAGTCGTTCTGCTGCCCTTCTCAGCCTCCCGTTGACGTCTTTTCACCGATCTTCGCTCGATCATCACTATAATGTTACGACTCTCGTCGATTTCACTTATTACGTTTCTCATGAACTTTAAGTCCATACAATATGCATAAAAGTTATAAAGTCGTCCTTACATCTCAAAGACCTTATAAACTTTCATCTTTTAGCAGCCGTCATAAACATAGAAGCGTAGACTCTGTTTTTTTTTTATTGTTATCTATTCGTGTATCATGGAGCATTTGATCAAGTAATACAATGACTGATAACGAAATTAAAACGAGATATAAAGTCTACGACGATCTTACATTTCTACTCTCCCATCATGTTCTTTATTCACACTTTTTATTTTTTACCCGTCCAAGAAAGTCTTCTTTCACGCTGTTTCTGCATGTATGTATTAATTTATTTTATTTGGAGCAAAATTAAAATATATCGTTTATTTTATGCTTTTATTATTATTTAAGGCTCCTTGAATATTTCAAATAAATTTTTTGACTTATTAACTATTTTTATCGTCAATTAATAAGAATATTATTTTCACTTGAGTGTACATTTAATTATAGTTTTTCTAAACTTTTAAGATTACATTAATTCCTTTTCAACACTTTTCTTAAATAAAGCAATTCCATTCTATGCATATATTGAGTGTTGGAGGCTCGGTATTACATAAGCTCATTACGCTCAACGCCGATCATTGTAAATAAAACGGCTTTGTTTATCCAGTGCTCATAGTAAGATACACACTCGTGTTACTTTCTCTTTCAACTCTTCGTTTTCCGTCATCTAAGTATATTTATCCAGTCCGTTCCACGCACTATATTACAATTTCTTTAGTGTCGAAATATTAATATTTCTTTGCGTATTTTCCTTTAGAACGAAGACGTTTTGTAAAACCAAATGTACACTTGAAAGCCCCCAGCTCGAAGATGTACTTTCAATTACTTGCATAACGTATCTAAATGAATCAATTCCAAAAAATAAGTTACACTTAGTTTTTAATGGTTGTATTTTGTTATCCCTCTACATTCATTCACATATATGCATAATGTAACGTATGCTTATGTTATCCGGAGTGGGAAAGGAGATGCAAGGTGTCACATATTTGTAACATACTAATACATCGATAATCCTCAAAATTCAAATCTCAATACAAATCATGGGATGACACTTCTAATAATTCAATCGTACGAATAATCTCGTAATTTCTAATTTACTTGTAATTTATACAAGATTACAATTCCATCTGAACCACCAATATTCATTTGTGCACTCACTGCGTAACAATCATGTAAATTTAGGCAAATTTAAATATTACTTCTTTTATTAATTCCATATGCTGCTCGCTTACATATTTATATGCCACTATATGTGTCAATCTATTTACCGCTCAGTTTCTCTCTCTATTTTCGTGCGCGGGCATGTGCGGATGCGTGTTCATTTACGTACGCGCTCGCATCTAAGCATACGTGCGTGTCGTAGGCAACGAATCTTTGAATGCGAAAGTAGCTGAAAATCGGTATCTAGCGATTTCATGCGATTCCATGCGATAAGGCAAACGGGCACTGTCAATAACTATAACTATAGCCCAGTACTATAGAGATGGCTTCTCCATCGGTAATTCAACCACAGGGAAACAGCGGTACAATCGAAGTTCATAATAGCGTTATTTTATTGAACTGGTCTCTAGTGCCTCGTAAGAGCTAGTGAAACGCATCCGTGTTGAGTCATACGCTCTCTGACAAGAACAAGCAAGTAGATCAATTCCAGACTTCATGTGACTCTCGCAGAAATTTCTCAACATCGACCCCATCTATCTCGTGTCGTAAAAAGTCGAAGAATGATACCAGATCCGAAGAAACGAGCTTCACCAAGTATATAACGGTCGCATACACCACGTAGATTTCCAAGACATTTAATGAAACCATGGCAGCCGCACGCATCTTGCACATTCTCGCACACTACCCGCTGTCCTCCTCTCGGTCAGCTCGCTGTCCCGCGAGACACTCATCAGTTCCACTACTCCCAGCCACGTGTCCGACAATCGACTTGTCCACCCTCGGGATTAACAAAAGCCAACGACGCTCAGCCCATTATCCTTGCCAATCCCGCCAAAAGTAGCGCATCCCTAATCAGCAGGCACAAGCGAATCGCGACGCTAACGGCATCTCCTGCACGCGGCAGCCACCTTCGGCAGACCCCACAGTAGAAGATAGCCTACAATCACGTGCTTCGAGGTGTCGCGCGCCTCGCCGAGGGCCGCGTGCCCACGGCCGCACGTCCGCGGCGCATCCAGCAGCTCCCGTTATAACCACTGCCGGAGGATGGCTTCCGTACACGAGTTCGTGGGAACGCTGGGTCTCCTCACCGACGACTGCTCTCAAGCGCTAGAGGAGCGCGAGCCTCTGCCGAGGACCGGAGCGTTCCGGCTGCGCTCTGGCGGCCCACGTACGCACACTCGGAATCAATACCCGGCCTCCTACCCACTGCGACCCAACCACCCCCGCACTCTGCCGTCGGCATCGCCGCCGCCACCGCCGTTGCTGTCGTTTCTAGCAATGCTGCAGCAGAGGCAGGGAGTCTGGACGAGGACTCAAGAGGGAGTTGAATAAAGATATAGCGCAAACGTGGAAATGGGCGAGATGGACAACGATCAAGCGAGAGTGAGAGAGAGAGAGAAGATAGACGAGTGACACGCTTGTATGAAAGGACTGAAATGGGAAACATGAGTAAAAATAGATAAGGACGTGTATGAAATGGAATGGAGGAAGGGGACTCCGGCTACTGGAAGACGAAGTCGGAAGAAAGTATGGGAACGCGAGCGAGAGAAGGAGCGAATGTAAGCGAAAATCTGCTAGCTTGTAATGGAGATGGATATAGAGGCGAAAATCAAAATGAAATGGAGCAAAGGGAATAGCGAAGGTGCTAAAAGGATAGGTTTATTTTAATTTTGATCTGGTGCTTCGATATGCCAGATAAACGTACGAAACCTCTTAGCATTGGCATTTATGCGATTATGACGTAGCATGAGCCTCAAACATTTGAAATTTAAAATACGCTCAGTCAGTATTCAAATCATCAAGCATACCCTGATTTTATTAGAATACGATAACGACGGAATAGCGGATTTTCCAACTATTTCACTTTATCTACAACAAGGTGTAAGCTTACTCGTTGAACCTAATATTTATCCATCAATATTTATAAATATTCTAAACAAATTGTGAGAAAATTGACGTAGCAAGTTAATTTTGACCGTTAAAGAAAAGTTGAGGAATTTCGATCGGCGCTTAAAGAATAAAAACCTTTTCTCTTAATTAGATTTTACTGTCATTAAAAGAAATTGAAGTAATGTACAGAAAAATAATGCAAATTAAAAAAGAATTATTTCCTCGTGCTTAGTAAAATATGACCAACATTTTCGAAAATTTATTCCTTTATTTTTTTCTGATAGAAAAATTAGTTATTCTTTATATTTCACATTTTATAGAAAAAATACATTTTTCATTTATTTTCAGTCCAATTAAAAGTAGCATAAAATGTGTAGTAAAATATTGAATTTGATAACAATTATTATAACAATAATTTATACTATGAACAAAATTTATTTCATTTTATTATAATTAATTTTCTCAAAATTTGGTAGTAATATAGTGATATAATAATAAAATTATAGTATATATGATGTAATATATAATTTCACTTGTTATATTCGCAGATATGATGCGTGAACAAACTATATTGGGTTAAAATGACTTCAGTTCCGATTTATCAAATTACATCATTTGAAACATTTTTTAATTAATCAGACTTGTCATATTACAATGGAAACAAAAATATTAATACAAAAAGAAAGAAAATAACAAAAATTGCTTTACAAAGGAAAAGTGAAACATATAAAGAGAGAATGGTTGAGAAAAAGGAAACAAAACGTATGCATGAAAAAGTGCGAAAAGATAAGAAAGACAAAGAAAATTAGGAAAAAATACTAAATAATATGTTTCACGATGATAGAAGTAGGGATTATGTATAAGGAAAAACAAAAGAGAGGTGGGGGGAGGGAGAGACGGGAGAGAGAGAGAGAGAGAGAGAGAGAGAAATAAGAGGTAGTAAGTTAAAGAAACTAAAAACAAAGGAGGCAGTTTAAGGATAAGTCGCGATGATTTAAGTAAATATAAAGAGCTATTTGTCGCAGGCCTTAATTTTCATTTAAATTCTGAAATTTAATTTTTCCTAATAAGCTTCTAAAATTTCGAATATATTTTATGTAAAAAACTATTTATGTAAAAATATTTTTTATCTCATGATGTTAGATACGTAAAATCAATAATGGAATTGTTATATTAGAATACTATGTGTATCATATAAGGATATATTGACCAGTAGCTACTTGAAATTGTACGGTTTCATAACCATGAAAGAATATAAATATATTCTTTTTATCCGAATCTTAATAAAAAATAATGAAATAAATTTTGTTAAAGTATAATTTCATATAATCATAACCATATGACAATTTAAAAAAATGAACTTTTTATGAATAGTTGCACATCATTTTATACAACTCATATATGTACACCATATAATGAATTTAGTATGTGAAATTATTTTTCAAATGTCTCTATTTTAAATAGATTATCATAATAAATACGTATATTAATATAGCGCACGCGTGTGTGTTTGTATTTTATTATTTAATACAATTAAATATTGACAATATTGTACGACAATTTCATCCAAGAACTTTATGAAATTCAAGTTGAGTATAAAATTAATATAAAATATAGTGGATACATATTATTTATACTACTTAATTTAACACGGTATTTTTTTTTCTCGTTTCTGTCTAACAGAATCAATATTTTTTGGCGATCAACCCTGCAATAGTTTAAAATAAATTGAAGGAAAATGTAGCATTAAAATATAACTAAAAATAAAATGTAACGAAATATAAAATCTGGAAATTAAGAGAACACATAGTAAAACAAAAACATTAGTAGTTCAATAATAAGTACCGAAAAGTATAATATACACAAAGTTCTACCGTAAGTACGAAAAATAGAAACAAGTAATAAACTAGAAAAGAGAAAACGGGTTACAGTATTAGAGTGTCTTCAAAATAGAAAGAAAAAGAATGAGAAAGAAATATAGGAAGAGTGAGAAGAAGAAATACATATAATCGAGGTTGCACTGGTGGCATTAGTGTTGTGTCGCTATAGGCATGTATATGTATTAAGGACTGTTAGTGCTGAACTGCTACTTCCGGTTCAGCCACTTGGAAATAGTCTCCAACTCGTTCCTCACCTCTGAATTTTACCCTCCTTAACCTTTGAAAAATGCAAGAAAAGTCGGCTTCGCAGAACCGTTTATAACTATCGGATCTTATGAGATGCTGAAAAGGTTAATTCCGGTAATAAAGGGAAAATCGTTTTAATAAGGTACAAAAATTTTACAAGCTTTTAACATCTTCTCTTTCATTAACTTCTCGTGCAATCATCGCTGATTAATAGTTTATTATAATTCAAAACAATATATTTATTATTATTATAAAACAATATTAATTTCAAAAGCAAGTTATCTAACTGCTATGCAAATAAAAAGGAAACCCTTAATTTTAGTAATGTTTTATAGGGTAAGTGGACGCATAAATACTATCTAATTTACTTGTAATAAATATATTAGTTTTCATATTGCAATATAAGAGTTTTTACAATATAAGTTCGCTAAATTAATACAAATAATACTGTATTTTAATTGTTTATTGGACTAAAATCATATTTTTCTTTTAATTATTTACTTAACCTCTGTATTTATACATTAAAACTGTTTAATAATTTTATTATTTAAGATTATTTTATTATTGATGAATACATTATATTTTCTCTATAAATAAACTAACTTTATAAACTTGAAGTTGCGTATATACTTATTCCTTAATAAAAATGAAAACTTTCTAGTTTGATAAATCTTCAAATGACTGATAAATTACGTCTAACTTTCCGAAATGCCAAAGCACAAGTGAATTCGCCGACTTAAATAACAAAACTGTACAATAGCGTGTACTCAAGATTCATAAAATTTAATGAAACAGAATCAGAAATTTTATGAAAGATAACTGCGTGAATTGTATTCCTCGTAATAGATTTTTCTAGCAACTATGTACGTGAATAGATAATGATAAAAATTTTTCATATGCTACCAATAAAATACAACAAATATTTTATATTACATTGTATTTTCACACGTTGTATATTATAGTGATTTATAGCATGAAAACCCCTCATATGCTACATGCTATGGAAAAGCTTGAAAAATATTGAATAATAAAAATATGTATGATAAATATTTACTGAAAAAAAGACATTAACTAGCACACAGAAGTTTTTGCGAAAAGGTGCTTTATCATAAAGGACTAATTTTTAATTGCTACTGCAACGCACCAGCATAGTACGACATACTGCTTTACATCGGCAGGTGACATTGTTTTACAAGGAAGTATTATGCAAAGAAAAATGATAAAATGTTCCTCGACTGGTAGAATTATTCAAAGATCAAATCAAAGCAAATTATAAAATAAAAATACATTTGGTTTCAAGAAGACAATTTAATTTCGTACAGAAAAAGTAACAATGCCAGAAAATAAAAAGTGCATTTAACGGTATAAAGTAATCATCTTCAATCAGTTCCAAATTGCAACCCTAAACATCCTTGCAGCAGGAAAACCAAATTAAAAGCGAACAAAACCAAAGGCTGTTCGATTTAGCCGGAAAGAAAAGGAAAAAGCTAAAATCACTTACGGAGCGCGAGTGTGCGACGAGTGTATCAAGCTCCCTTGAAAGCCTACAGTCACGCTGCTCCTGAACAACGAAAATATTTTGTGCGGCAAAGCACGACGACAACTGACGTTAATCACTATTCTCGAATCCCCTTGATTGTCGACTTGTCAAATTAGCTCCTCCTATACATTGGCCTTCGTTTGCCTCGATCCATTAATTGCGGCACCAGTGAAAAAGAGTCGGCACACCTTTCCCTTCACCACTCTCGGAGCCATTTTCCCCGTGAGCTTGTTGGCATAACTACCGAATGCATCGACATGAGGAAAGTGATCGGTCGGGCTCGAGGCCGCCAACTGTCGGTTGATTAGCAGCCGAATGAGCTCGGTAGTACACGACGTCAGCTCCCCAAACTTATTTGAATTATCGATGCAATCCTGCTGGAATGGCATGGGCTTCGAGGATTAGTGAAAACTTGTTTTCTTTACATTTTATAGCGAGTAGCTGCATCAATGGCTTCTCGCACAACAAGCAAAGCATACCAACACCGAATTAACCCAGCAAATCGACATGGCAGTAACATATCGCTTGGCTTTGCTCCCTACGTCGTCCCAGTCGCCCAACCCCAACTGTCCCACCCGCTGCTTCCAAAGTGTCACTTCTTTCTCCACCCCTTAACGATTTTCGCTGCAATTGTACATGACCGTGCGCGAGGCTATAGTCATGTGCACTAATTCACGTAGGCAACGACAGCTTCTGTCTCTCTGATTCATTGTTCGCCTTCCCTTTTCGACTTCACTTTACTTTGAAAACTGCACAATGTCGTTTCAAGACTTTCTCAGGGATCGTTTTTGATAATCTTTACATTCAGTCCATTCATTTGTTTTACTTTCATACCATAAACACTTTAACTAATCAAATATAATCCTAATATTCATAGGTAAATTGAAAATTAAAAAATGGATACTGTGACCATGATTTTGAAGAAAATTAATCTTTTACACATGTAGCATTATTACTGAGAGTACTCTTCAACCATTCATATTGTAAATATATTTCAATATCCATTTCGCTGTTATTCGTCATAATTTAAGAGCTTTGGTCTAAAATTCCAATATACAATCAGTATACGTATTTATAGACAATTGTACCAAAGTATCCAAAATTGAAACAAATATTTAGAAAATTATTAAACTGATCTATAATGTTATAGCAAGGTGAAAAATGTATATCATAAATCGAAATAGTGAAATTATTAATAGCATTTTCTCGAAAATGTGTACTACCAATACAATCAATATTAACTATATATGACAGACAACGATTCATTTGTCAAAAATATTACTTTATATTTAATTAACCTAATTCCCATTCGATAAGTAATGAAGAAACTATCTAATGATATATTAAAATATAAAATTGAAATCGAAAATGAAATATTTCATAAAATAAATGTCTTGATTTTTATTTTCCCAATTTTCAATACAATTGACTTTCGGCAATTGAAGGGCCAGTTTTTTTCATACATTTGATACTAAAGTGTAAATGTATGACAAAACATATATTAGTATATGAGTATAGTGTATGCTGATGAGAGCTACAGAAGTTTTCCAAACATTAAGCGTTTGAAAACTTCAGAAAGCGGTAAATTTAAAAAAATTATCATTTCTTTAATAAAAAATTAAAATCAATATGACGTTACTTATATACATAAATATATGGTAGCATCATTCACATAAATTAAAATAGAAACTTAAAATCAAATAGTTTTTACTTATACTAGTAAACTTATTTAATTAATGTAATTATAATTAGAAAATTTAATTACTTTTTATACTTTACTAATTTGATTATTAAATATATTTGATATTTATTATATTTTATTATTAATATATATTTTATTATTAATTTATTTGATAATATATTTAGATTTTAATTACACACATTTTTTTTTATTATAATTATAAATTTCTTTTCACGCATACATATTTGATAATTATACATTGTAAATCGATTTTCGTATAAAATTTTTTTTATAATAATTAATTGTATAATACATTGGACGTGAATAATCATTTTTAATTATTTAGAGACACGGTAAAGTTTTTATTTATGTTACAAATAATAATTGAGTTTAAATAAAAATTGTAAATAATCAAAGTTCATCGTTTACTGTAACTTTGACATTATATTAAAATGATTGTACAATTTAAGTTATCTTTTCTCATTGTGGCTGCCTCCGTTACTTTAGCGACTCTGCTAACTTTATCTATATTTTCTTTAACTTTCTTTTTGACTTTTTGACTTGTTTTTCAAAATCTTTCAGCCCATTGTTAAAAAATTGAAAAATCGCATATTCACGAAAGTATGCATCGATACAGGAATCTGATAACATCGAGGAAAATATTTACTCGAGTGCTCTATTGAAAAACTATATCGATTCACAAGTAAAGAATAGCTATTCTCTTGTAATCGAAATGGGAGATTCTTAATTTTATGCTTTCGCCCAATCGGATCTTCTTCGAAAATTGCATACATAAATCTACTTTTTATATTAAATTTATAGTCTATTTAAGATCAACTTTATGGTTATTAATGGTTTAAAAATATATTATTAAATATTAATGGAAATGTCGAATTTTAAATTAATAGTTAGTACTATTAATATAAATTTTAGAGATATATTAATTATCTTATGTAAAAATTTTAAAAATTTTACATCAAGCTTAAAAGTTTGGCTCTTTCATTCATAATAGAAAGTAAAAATTAATATTTAAATAAGAATGCACTTTGGACTAAAGTCAGTATTAATTGTATTAAAAATAGATAATAAGTAACAAAGAAAATAGATTTATATTTTCATATCTATATTTGTATGAAAAATTTATACGAAGTTCATGCATTCTGTCCTATAACAGTTTGAAGCACATACGTATTTCATTAATTTAATTCAATTAATAAAATTGTCAATATTCCCAATATAACTTCGAACTCACATTCGATAAAGAATTCTTTACTTATAAACAACTATTTAAACCAAATTTTCAGAGCTTTAAAATATAAAATTATACTATCTGAATTATACTATACTGAATGTTGCTTATTCAAATTTTCATTCTTGTACATTTACATCAAAAAGATTAAAAAATTAATAAGCAGATATTTAAAAATATTATTTCTAGCGTCGTAGTTCTTAAAATATTTAAAGAAAAGATTAACTTATTATTTCCACAAAAAAAAACGGAAAATTGAAATTTTTATAGAAAATATTTTAATTAGTTATGAAATTTACTATAATTTATAAAAAAAAGCTGATTTATCCAAATTTATATTTGATAAAAATTTATTAAAACTAATATTATCATTTTTATGCATGTATTATAAACTATTATATATTAAATCTATAAATTCTCCTTACTATTATAAAATATTTTAAAGTACTGAAGATGTACTTTTCAACAATTTGATTATTAAGCAGACGGCAGTATAAATATATATATATATATATATATATATATATATATATATATATATATATATATTCCGTTATTAAATTATAAAAGTAAATTGAATACTATTATTACTGTTACACTTTTCATAAAGACGTTAACCTTATTAT